AACCAGGTTCCGACTGTGATTTAACCGGGGTTTCCAGTGTGCTGGGTTGGTGGTTTCAAAGCAGTCGCCGATGTATGTGTGTGAACTGCATTTGCACCGTAAATTGCCAACCGTAATAATTGGAGGTGTGGATGATTGCATGCACATACAGTGAGGGAAAAAAGTATTTGATCCTCTGCTGATTTTGTACGTTTGCCCACTGACAAAGAAATGATCAGGCTATAATTTTAATGATAGGTTTATTTGAACAGTGAGAGACAGAATAACAACAAGAAAATCCAGAAAAACGCATGTAAAAAATGTTATAAATTGATTTGCATTTTAATGAGGGAAATAAGTATTTGACCCCCTCTCAATCAGAAAGATTTCTGGCTCCCAGGTGTCTTTTATACAGGTAACGAGCTGAGATTAAAAGAACACTATTAAAGGGAGTGCTCCTAATCTCAGCTTGTTACCTGTATAAAAGACACCTGTCCACAGAAGCAATCAATCAGATTCCAAACTCTCCACCATGGCCAAGACCAAAGAGCTCTCCAAGGATGTCAGGGACAAGATTGTAGACCTATACAAGGCTGGAATGGGCTACAAAACCATTGCCAAGCAGCTTGGTGAGAAGGTGACAACAGTTGGTGCGATTATTCGCAAATGGAAGAAACACAAAAGAACTATCAATCTCCCTCGCCTGGGGCTCCATGCAAGATCTCACCTCGTGGAGTTGCAATAATCATGAGAACGGTGAGGAATCAGCCCAGAACTACACGGGAGGATCTTGTCAATGATCTCAAGGCAGCTGGGACCATAGTCACCAAGAAAACAATTGGTAACATACTACGCCGTGAAGGACTGAAATCCTGCAGCGCCCACAAGGTCCCCCTACTCAAGAAAACACATACATGCCCGTCTGAAGTTTGCCAATGAACATCTAAATGATTCAGAGGACAACTGGGTGAAAGTGTTGTGGTCAGTTGAGACCAAAATGGAGCTCTTTGGCATCAACTCAACTCGCCGTGTTTGGAGGAGGAGGAATGCTACCTATGACCCCAAGAAGACCATCCCCACCGTCAAACATGGAGGTGTAAACATTATGCTTTGGGGGTGTTTTTCTGTTAAGGGGACAGGACAACTTCACCGCATCAAAGGGCGATGGACAGGGTCATGTACTGTCAAATCTTGGGTGAGAACCTCCTTCCCTCAGCCAGGGCATTGAAAATGGGTCGTGGATGAGTATTTCAGCATGACAATGACCCAAAACACACGGCCAAGGCAACAAAGAAGTGGCTCAAGAAGAAGCACATTAAGGTCCTGGAGTGGCCTAGCCAGTCTCCAGACCTTAATCCCATAGAAAATCTGTGGAAGGAGCTGAAGGTTCGAGTTGCCAAACGTCAGCCTCGAAACCTTAATGACTTGGAGAAGATTTGCAAAGAGGAGTGGGACAAAATCCCTCCTGAGATGTGTGCAAACCTGGTGGCCAACTACAAGAAACGTCTGATCTCTGTGATTGCCAACAAGGGGTTTGCCACCATGTACTAAGTCATGTTTTGCAGAGGGATCAAATACTTATTCCCTCATTAAAATGCAAATCAATTTATAACATTTTTGATATGCGTTTTTCTGGATTTTTTTGTTGTTATTCTGTCTCTCACTGTTCAAATAAACCTACCATTAAAATTATAGACTGATCATTTCTTTGTCAGTGGGCAAACGTACAAAATCAGCAGGGGATCAAATACTTTTTTCCCTCACTGTACATGCACACACAGAAAAACATAATAAATTCGTTTTTAAACAATCTATTTACAGGAATGAAAAAATAGAGATTTACGGTCATGTGAAATATTTATATATCTATGGCAGAGCGCAAAGAAATTGCAGCACTCCTAATGTGGACAAAAAAATTTAACCGGAAGGTATTTCGGAAATAGTTTCTGGGAAGTGTGGTTTCATGGGGCCCGTTGTGTAGCAGCACGGTGTGATACGCTGCTGTGCCATCGTGTAAATGGGTTGAGCGACTGTCTCAGGACACGCCACTGAGAGAGACATTTGGAAGAAAACGGGGAATGATTACAAAACAGAGTGGCACTAACTTAACCAACGAGCTAGCGTCTTCAGCCACTGCAGCGTTGATATAAACCCGTGAGATCCCGTGGTGTCATAGGAATCGCAAACATCCGATTCTTGCAAATTATTTGGTGATGCTGCTGTGTTGGCAGCGGGGCACAAGCACAACTTGCAAACAAAACTGACCACGTTCGTCAAGAGACTCTGGAGTGTGGCCTCAAAATGAAAAATCTGTCGAATGGGTGACGTTTTAGGGCAGGGGTGGGCAAATTTTTTGTCTCCCGGGCCACAATGGGTTCTAAAATTTGACAGAGGAGTCGGGCCAGGAACAGATGGATGGAGTGTTTGTGTGAACTAATGTAAATGACATGTAAAAATCATTACATGAAAGTATTTGGCCTTTAACAGGTAGCAAAGCATTTATTTGCAAGGCAATTTAACAAATTGCACGAACATGAACAATACAAAACATGTCGTAACTCCCGGTCAAAGTCCGCCATCTAATGGGGAAATGGGGGCTTTACAGGAGAAAGGTAAAATTTAATTTATTAATAATATTTGGACAAGTTCGGCGGGCCGGATTAAAAAGCTCTACGGGCCGTATACGGCCCGGGGGCCGTACTTTGCCCATGTCTGTTTTAGGGCAATAGCCCATCTTCATAGCTCATGAATGCTAAATAAATGTGCACTTGAATTTATGTGCTATGCATAAGTGCCCCTGCAAGAAACATCGCCTATTAATTTTTTTATTTAAAGCTTTCGTGACTGCAGGGATTCATATTATTGGTTCTTTCGGTAAAGTCACGTATAAGGGAAACAATAAAATAATAAAAATATAAAACAATAAAATTATCTTTCTGTGGTTTTCACACCTGATGATGGTTGCTTGTGTTGCAGTCGAAACGTCGTGAGAATTTTATTGTTTTATATTTTTATTTTTTTATTGTTTCCCTTCTACCTGACTTTACCGAAAGAACCAAGAATATATCGCCTAGTACGTCAATAACGCGGTGTTATTGATTAATTATTTTTTCGATTCTTGCAGCATGTGACTTGATGTGTGTTATCATGAGCTTAAGAATCAATATTGAGGAATGTATGCATTTCTATTTAAAGCTTTCGTGACTGCAGGGATTCGTATTCTTGGTTCTTTTGGTAAAGTCATGTAGAAGGGATATATTAAATATTATTTCCCTTCTACATGACCAAGAAAAATGTATGCATTGTTACGCCCACAGTTTCACAGGGTTGCAACTCACCGATGTATGGATCCGATTCCACTTGCGAGAATCGATTACATTTGTTTGCACAGTGTAAGCAAATTGCCACGCATATTCGGCCGATTCGAGTGAATGGGGCAATTTATTAAGTAAAAAAGTAGCAAATACTACAAACGAGATCGGAAAATCGATATATAAAACAATTATATTTTCAATTTGAATCAGGATTCGTAATCAGTGTTTTTTGGGTCAGATCATGTAAGTGTAATGTATTTATTTTTGTTACTGTAACCCTGCACAGAGCCGATCAAATCACATTGTCGGGTAGCAGAGAGTTGCAGTTTAAAAAAAAAATTACATAACACACCTTCACAACGATCTAACCCGAAAGAAGGGAATTAGGAATCGTAACATTGCTCGCGAAAGCCCACATATTAAAGATGGGATCGGGATGCTGAGTCGTGATGGTGTGCGCCATCGCTGGGGCCGGGGTGGGTGGGTCGGTGATTCATTTTGTGCTATTAAGTCAATTTGTCATCGGGCTGAGCCAACTAGATTAGCCAAAGTGGGCCATAACAAAGTAGTGTTAACATCGTGACGCGCAGACGGATATTTATACAAAGCTGCCATCGTGTTTAGAGACTCACACGACACGCGTATGTACGTACGTACGTTCTCCCCCTTACATGGAAAGAAATCGTTTTTTTGCTAAGTGCCACTAAAATCCCAGAGCTGCTTTCACTTTCGAGAGCGATGTCTCCGTCTGGGTCGTCTTTTTGTTGCTCTCGTGTGTAGACGAGACGGTCGTGACGAATTTTCGTTTTTACGTCGGGAGAGAGAGAGGATGCGGAGGTTTTTGGAACAACGGTAATTGTCGAGTCTACGGGATAACGTGGAACATAAATGTTAACACCGTAGTTTTTTTTAGTTTCGGGCTTCTTGAAATGGCATGGGAATGTTCTTTTTTTATGTTTTCTTTTTTTACCTCGGCCTGTGAAGGTTTGTATCTGGAGGTCTAGAGGTTTTAAAGAATGATAAATGCACCAAGATATAGAGTCCTGATTAATTGTTGGCACCAGCTCACCGCCTGGCTGTCTTGCCGCTTGCCTGTGATCCCTCGGCGATTTTGAGACGCAAATTTGCACTCGGAAAATCTGAAACAAAGAGTTTAAAAAGGACCCTTTAGAGCGTTTACAAATCCCATCATCGTTTACGGTTGCACATCAGAATTTATCACAAGGATGCAAAAAAAAAAGCGCGAAACGAGAGTCTTGCGTCACGGTCTTTTTAAAAAGTTTACGATGTTGCTTAAAATAAATATAATAGAATGTCTATATGTATGTATGTATGCACGAACTTCTTTCGCACTGTACGTAGCCAACCATGCTAATCGGAGGTGCAGGGGAAGGACAACAAACTAAACACAAAAACTGAAACAGAAGGAATTTTCCACAATTCTGGCTGTTGCCTGATGAAGCTGGTTGTAATCACTAGCGCAACACACCGGTGTGCTGAAGCAGTCACTAATTATCACGTTTTATTTACAACACGTGTATAATTGACGCGATCTTACCCAACAAAAACCTTGGTTACGTATGAACACAAAAAAACTGATGCGAAGAGATGAGTTTTCAATCGAGGCGATTTCAACGCGCGCGGAATGTTGAGTGCGGAATGTTGCGAGGTTGCAAGCGCTGTTGCCGTGTCTGCTCTTGTCCCCAGCTGCAAACGGAGGACGAGAAGCGATGCTTCGAGGACGGGAAGGCTCGCTACATGCAGAACAAAGCCAGGCGCGACGCCAAGAAAGGGGGCAGCGCTTAAGGGGGGGGGGGGGGGGCGTGGCGACGTGCCGGCTGTGCCCTTGCGAGGCTGCAGGAACCTGGGTGGTTGTGTTGTTGTGCTTTAAATAAAGTTAGGCTCCGAACACACACACACACACACGTACCAATGGACGCTCGCACGCACGCACTCAACACACGCACCACAACACGCGAAACACGCAACACACACCACACACACTCGTAGAGATGAACCTGAGGTGGCGGAAGGGGGGGGGATCGCAAGGAAACCGGCACCCACCCCCTCTGCGGGCCTTGGGGGCCCGCGTCACGTGTGTGCCGCGTCACGTGTTACGTCACATACGGGTGCCGCGTCACGTGTGGCGCGTCACGTGCGCGCCCGCGTCGAAGGTGCTGCCCAGCTCTGAGGGGTACAGCTCGGTGAGAACATCGTGCGCGCGTGATGTTATGGCGATATGAGCAGCGTGAAGCATCTCTCGACAACCGCAGAATCCGTGCCGTTTAGTTTCGTCGTTAAGTGAAGTCGATCATCATCCCCCCCCCCGCCGCCACCATCAGCCCCCCCCCCCCCCCGTGTTACTGCGAGGCCTTTGTCAATCCACTGCTGGATGGATTATGTCGCGGAGGTTCGTCGCATCGTGATTCACCGCGCTCATCAGTGCGGGGTCGGCGAGGTGCAATAGCAGTGCACCGCAACAACAACAACAACATCGACGTTGTTGCGTGCGCGCTGTGGTCTGCGTCCGCGCGCAACGTGGCGAAGCTGCGCCTGTCGCACGTTCCGGTCGCCGGCCATTCCAGCAGTACCCCGGCCTCAACCCCCATGTCTGACGGAAGGTTCGGTCCTGGGCAACGATATTGAGGGCCGTCGTGGGCTGAGTATGAATTATTAACCATACCCGAGCCGATTAACAGAACCACTTTAGGCAGCTGCTGGCATTGATTGGATTGTCGAGTTCTCCGACTGCTGTTCCCCCTCCCACCGATCTTGGCGCCCCTCCTCCCCAGCGAGAATTCCCCCCCCCGTGTGAATGTCTGCACACACACACTCTCCCTCGCACTCACACACAGACTCACACACACAGACTCTCACACACACAGACTCTCACACACACACACTCTCACACACACAGACTCTCACACACACTCTCACACACACAGACTCTCACACACAGACTCTCACACACACACACTCTCACACACACAGACTCTCACACACACAGACTCACACACACACAGACTCTCACACTCACACAGGCTCTCACACACACAGACTCACACACACTCACACACACAGACTCTCACACACAGACTCTCACACACACACACTCTCACACACACACACTCTCACACACAGACTCTCACACACACAGACTCTCACACACACAGACTCTCACACACACACACTCTCACACACACAGACTCTCACACACACACTCTCACACACACAGACTCTCACACACACACACTCTCTTGTGCACTCACACTCACTCACAGACTCTCACTCGCGCACTCACACACAGACACTCACACACACACAGACTCTCACACTCACACAGACTTTCACACACACACCCTCCCAGACGCTCACACACATACTCTCACACACGCTCACACACGCTCACACACATACTCTCACACACGCTCACACACAGACTCTGACACACACACAGACTCTGACACACACACAGACTCTGACACACACACACAGACTCTCACACACAGACTCTCACCCGCGTACTCACCTGTAATTGCACAAGAGGGAGACGCAGCTGCAAGAGCCAAACGGCTCTACCCTGTAGTTCACCCCCAGGGTGCACGTATGTGTGTGTATGTGTGTGTATGTGTGTGTGTCCCGCACTGTGGGGAGCGATAGTGTAGCGGTTAGCGCGCTGCGCTATGAACCCGGCGACACGAGTTCGATTCCCGCTCACGGCCAACACCAGTGACGCTAATCTTAACCGGTCCCGGGCCTCCCCTAGGTCGACTCAGCCTCAAATGAGTACCTGGTGCAGTGTGTAAACATTGCCACTGGGGAGACAAAGGCGGTCGGGCGTGGTGCTGGCCACCCACTCCCTCGTGTACCGTTACCGGCCTTCATAGGTGCTCGCTAACAGCACTTGCCCCTACAGTCTGTTAAGGCTATATGGGGGATCTTTGTCTTTTTTTTATCTTTGTCCCGCACTGTCTGACGTTGAAACTTCATTAACGAGAACAGCAAGCACGCTGTACTAACGTGTTTGCGATTGGGGCCCACTACTGTCTTCATGTTGCTCACGATATATCTTGCTTAGTCGAAGAAAGCGCTTTCTGGAAATCTATGATTTGGTTGTAGACCGGCCAATCCTTTCTCTTTGCTTTCTCTCCTCTAAGTTAATGAGCGCGCACTGGAGGTAGAAGAACATTTAAAGGCAAAGGTGATGCCCTGAAATGTCTTGCGCGTGGCACTGGTGGCAGGAATGGCCTTCGCTTCGAGGGAGCTGTGCACACAGCCCATTCAGAAGCTCTTCCAAAAATCACTTTTAAAACATTATTTTTTTCCCAATTCACTAACTTTCAGATCCACTTTGGTGACAGCCAGGAGACACGGGCAGCCTCTTTGTGCATCGACAGCAGGGGTCCGGCAAAGCAAAATAACAAGAGCCATTTTTTAATCCGGTAAAAAAAAAATCCGCAGTATTTCAAGAGCCGCAGTGCACGTGGTGAGCACGAGACAGTGGTCGTCACTAAATCGCTGTCACGAAGCAGTTCCTTAATGAGCCGCAGGTAATTACCGACCCCTGGTCTACCGGGATAAAATAGCCATGGTTTGGGCTGCGTCTTCCTATCAACAATGCTGCCACTGGGGAGCCGGACACTTGCATGGGGGCAGTCTCCGGACGTGCGTCGGTCGTCAACCTGCGGAAACCCGGAGGCAGCCGCTGGGCGTCCCCACGGCCATCGATTGCACGCAGCGCAGCCGGGTCGTGTGAGTATGATGCGTCTTGCGGAGTAAACCTCGCAGCTTCGTGGGCGAGCGATAGTTCGTCGTCACGGCGCACGATCTCGCGGGGTGCACGCGTCTCCCCGGTCGCGATTTTCGCAGCCGCCGCAGTTCAAATGAACGTGTGGCTCAAATGTAGGAGTGTGGGGGGGGGGGGAACAATCCAGCCAACCTACCGACGGGGCAGCCAAAATTTAAAGAAATTCACGGCGGAACTTGCGGATGGCGCAGTGAAACGCGGTTTTTGTTGAGACGACTTCTTTTGCGAACTGAAGCGCAGAGCAATCAAAGTCTATCGCACAGACATGTTGCGTCGGTTTGGGCAAACGGTAAGTATGACAGATCTTCAACTTCATCATGGTCAGCCGTGATCAGTCCGCTGCTGGATGCAGGCATCCCCAAGTCGATCTCACCAGTCCATCTCGACTGTTAGGAAAAGTAAGCGTGCAAAGGGCAGGACACGTCACGATGGTCTTAAAATGATGATCGCGTAGAAATAGATGTGGCCTTAAAAGAAAAAAAGATATAATAGGCGACGTTTCTGGTATTGGCCCTTCATAGCATGTAATTTAAACAATATTAACTCTGAAAATGTAACAATCTTCTTGCCATAGCGGAAGTAACATGTTTGTGAAATTAGCCCAAAACGGACATTCCAAAAATCAGAGTTATGTAATTCTTATCGTTTTTGTTTTCGCATTTGTTATTGTGGATTTAAATACCCCCTTTGCATGTCATTGAGGTTTACGGGTTCTGAATTACGGATCTGGAGTAAGCTCTCCTTGTTATCCAATGAGGCTCACAAGTTCTGAATTCCAGATCTGCAGTAAGCTCTCCTTGTTATTCATTCCGTGGTCACCGGCATCTGTTACCGTAACCACGTGCGTGGCGTTGACCAACAGTGAAAAAAGCTGATTTTAGCGTAAGTGCTCAAATCTAGTTTTAATTCGCGGTTGCGTGATTTGTTTCATTTTGTATTTAGTTTCATGAAACAAGCCAGTATTGTTTTATATTGAAGAACTCCCTCACCGTTGTAAACATTTACCTGAAGGATGCCGCACGCATCCTCAAAGCGTGCTTGGCAGCGTCTCGCGATGCGGTCACATCGAGACCCGCCTGTACGAATCGCACATTTGACCTCGCGATGCGGTCACATCGAGACCCGCCTGTACGAATCGCACATTTGACCTCGCGATGCGGTCACATTGAGACGCGCCTGCACGAATCGCACATTTGACCTCGCGATGCGGTCACATCGAGACTCGCCTGCAAGAATCGCACATTTGACCTCGCGATGCGCCGTGCGCCCAATTCTCACGGCGGTTCTCTCGGCCCCTTCGATAGAAATTCCACGCGGGATTCCATTTCCATCGCTGCTCACACAAACGGCGGTCCGCCTTGCTGCAAGTCCACGGATTCGCGCTGCGAACGTGGAGGCATTGACACGCGGACGGGCGTCACGTGGGCATCGACCGTTCGCCATGCGCACACAATGCACGCGGTGCGGCCGCTGGATGATAGGTTTGGAGAGTTGAGCAGGAAAGTTGAAAGGAAAATGTCACGCCGAAGGAGGAGGGGAAGAAAAAAAACGTCATGATGCGTTTTAAACCGTCACGTGTAACCCAACGTTCCCGCAACGTGCGTGCACAACATGTTTGTGAGGATAGCTTTAATGAAACCAACACAATCGACAACTATCCAGGAAAAAAAAACATGTAAAAAAAGTAATTACAACAATCATATTCTAACAGAGACGTCAGTCACTTGCAAGCCCGGAGTCCAGAAGGGCACTGCCCAATCAGAGTTCCGATTGCTGGCGACGGCAGAGTGCTGGAGGAGTTTTGTTGGCGGCGCAACACACACACACATTGTATTTATTCCAAAGCTGTGTAACAATTAGAATGATAACGCGTGCCGTGACCGCCACGACAAGGCGAGACATTGACACGTTTGTTGATAGTTGATTTGCAGTTTCGGCGGCAAAACACGCACTCGTGTTTACAGTGTTCTGATAACGTAATGTGTTCAAGTATATCGGTCAGTGCTTTACGATTATGTATTTATGAAGGTATTACAGATTAAGCAAACGTATATCGAACGACTCAAATAATTATATAATCCATAGTATACATTATTATAATGAATACAAAAACGTATTTTAATTAATAGATATTTTACTTTGGCTTGCTCACAGAAAATTCCCCGACCAAAATAAGCCTTTACATTGCCATATCTTATTCAGTAGAGAGATGTTACCAGTTTATGGTGGTCATGTACGCTTGCATATCGTGCCCTGTGTGACGCTACCGCTGATGCAATTGTATTTGTTCCAGAGATCGAGTGAAATAAATACATAGAAAAACAATTATCCTGAATTGGCCCCTCTCGTCTGAATCTGTGGATATCAAATTAAGTTTATTTCATCTGCCAAGATTACTTCGCTGGCGGTGGGGGGGTCACGATTATTTGTAATGTTGTCTGGAAGCTGTGCTGGGTGTATGAACTATGCTGGATGTATGAACTATGGTGGGTGTAGGAGCTATGGTGGGTGTATGAGCTATGCTGGATGTAGGAGCTATGCTGGGTGTATGAGCTATGGTGGATGTAGGAGTTTTGCTGGGTGTATGATCTATGCTGGGTGTATGAGCTATGTGAGTGGAGGAGCTATGCTGGGTGTAGGATCTATGCTGGGTGTATGAGCTATGCTGGGTGTATGAGCTATGCTGGGTGTATGAGCTCTGGTGGGTGTAGGAGCTATGCTGGGTGTATGAGCTATGCTGGGTGTAGGAGCTATGCTGGGTGTATGAGCTATGCTGGATGTATGAGCTTCAGTTCAGTTCAATTTATTTTGGTATAGCCCTGTGAGCCATTCGGCTCTTGAATCGGGTGCAACCACAACAAACAAAAAAAAACAAAAACACGAACAAGAAAAACATCTGAAAGTGACTATGTGACTGTGCAAATAGAAAATCCATGGAAAAAAACAGCAAAAATATTCCTGAAAAAAAGCACCGTACACCAACGCTGTGTGCAAAAAATCCCAGTGGGATGCAAGTCAACAACAACAACCACAACAACTTAGATTAAGGCCATCAGTCTAACTCCGTACTACAACAAAACAA